AAAAAAAAAAAAAAAAGAACCTCCATATAACCAAGAATTCTAGAGGAAATTACAGTGTTACAATGACTTCAGCCTTACTGTAATAAGATTGAATTGAAATAATATTACTAGCATATAATTTTTGATTATGAAAATAATTTAAAATTAAGTGATAAATCCACCAACAATGAATAGATTAATCCAAATGGATATTCTCTCTATATTGCAGGAGAAAAACTGAATTTGTAAATAAAATATAATTCTGAGTAAGCAGTTTAAGGGTTATTATAAAATTGTAATGATGTAACATCTTTCTAAATATATAGAGTTTATTTGTACAGTTTTTTTTTTAAAGTAGAATTGAAAGTTTATTTTACTCTTCTCACTTTAGTGAACTTTTTGGTGTTAAAATAGTTTTCTGGAATCCTCTAAGAGTTTGTGTCAGTCTTTGTTCTTATATTCATTTGGGACCCTGTCTTTTACTATTCAGAATTCTCTTGTTAATTTACTCCAAGCTTAACATCTAACTTAACGTCTTAGTACATTTAAAAATTGTTGAGATCTTGCATAGCCTTATAAAAATATAGGTTTTAGAGTCAGAATGACCTGGGGTTGGAATTCCAGTCCTACCACTTAATGTATGTAACTATACACTTTACTTAACCACAGTAAACTTCCACTTACTCATCTGTAACACTGAAGATGGACAGGAGTACTAACTTGAGGTGTTTTACACTGATTGAGAGGATAATTAATGCATGTGAAGTACACATCACAGCAACTGACACATAATCTTGGCTGTTCGTATTCTTAGTGGTATCTCATAGTTTGCTCTGAGACAAACTAAGGAACACTTTGTTTGTTTGTTTGCTTGTTTTTAATGAGGATATTTATTGAGGATACACAAGAAAAAGACCTCTTTATTCTGCATAGCTTCACTTTGGGTTTTAAATACACTACAGAAGTTCATGAAGGATAGTTTAACCATTTATGTTGTGTTATGTGAGAAGCCAGTGAGTGTACCTTACTTTTCAGAAAAAAGTGTATTCCTAATTAGTCAAGTATAATATGTACATTATAAAATTAAAATAATGAACTAAAATGTCTGTCCCCAAGTAAAATTTAAAATCCATACTTAACATATATCCCAATTTCAACATATTTAGTGAATATATATTCATAAAAGATCTACTACTTTACATTTAGATGCATTAGGGTATATTAGAAATAGAAGCAAAAGAAAAGATTTAGAACCTGGTCTGTCTTTGTCACTCAAACAAGTTACCCTCTCTGAGTTTTATACCCCCTTCATCTTTTAAAACTGGGGGTAATGTCAACCTGACTACTTTAAAATGAGTTTGAGAGTCAGGCAAATTAGAAAGATACATAGATGATAACTTTTCAAAAGGTATGTTGTCTTTCATTATTTGTAGAATACTTTTATACTTTTCAGAGTACTTTTATATTGATCATATTGTTTGTACTTTATGAAAGCCCTCTACACATCAGAATTATGCTTATTATACAGAGTGGCACAGATAAAGATAATATTGAATTGCTGCTTAAGACTGCATTAAGAGCGTGGACTTTATAGTCATACCTGGCTCCACCACTTCCTAGCTTCACCTATTTCTACATGTGTGATGGTGTGGAAATTACTCAACTTCTGAGAGCATCAGTTTCTCCACGTAGAAACTGAGTACAGAGTAGGTAACAGATACTAGTTCTTCTTACTGGGAGTGTAAACACATAATCTCTGTGATATCAGCCTATTAAATCTAGAGGCTTATTTCCTCCCTGGAGTGAATACTCTGCTTTAAATATAGATGCTTTGAACATTTATTTCTGTCATTTCTGAAAAGCTATCATTTAATTAAGGTATTGTTGAAAATGCTTTATAGCTGATTTATTGTACGTGGTCTTTTTTGATAGTTGAGCATGTGCTTTGAAGATGAATAGAACATTGTCTCTGTCCTCTAGGAGCCTACTAGGTGTTTATGCAAGAGACAAGTTAACAAATAACTGCCACATAATGTGAGAGTAATTACATCAGAAGTGTGTCCAGAGCAGAGCATCATAGTGCCTCTGGACCTTTTAAGTTTCGTGAAACATCTGAGTGTTGGGTCTTAAATGATTGGATCATTAGTATAACCTAAAACGTGACTTGATACATTGTTATTCTGTGGATAATGTTAAATGTAATAGCATACTTTGGATTATGTGGATGAGCCTTTTTAATTGCTAACACCTGACTGAGTACCGTTATTCTATTTGCTGTTGGAAAGGAATTTTTTATTTATTTTTGTATTATTTTCACAGCATTTCAAACTTAGCAAAAAAAAAAAAAAAAAAGTCTCATATGCTTTTACCCAAATTCCCCACATCTGCTTTATCAATTTCTCTTCTTATATGTTTATATCATTTTTTTGTGAACCATTTGGAAGTGACAGACTTGTGTGCCTTTCCCAAATACTATTATTTTATAATGCTAAATACTTTTTAAATAAGAACATTACCATAATACAATGGACTAAATTGGGAAATTGACATTAACATAATACTGTTGTCTATATACCTAAATTTTATTTTACTAATTGCCCCAATAATGTGCTTTATAGATTAAAAACAAAAATGACAAAACAGGTCCCTTGGCCAGTCTGAAGACCACACATTGCGTTTAGTTTTCATGACACTATAGTCTCCTTTAATCTGGAATAGCTCCACAGTATGTCTTCTGTCAAGTGTATGGCATAAAGAGAACCAGCTATTTATTTTATGGAATATCTTTCAATTTGTGTTTAATGCATTTTCATAATAAGATTGAGGTTACATTTTTTTTTACCAACTTTTTTATTGTAAAAGCAGATAACATAAAATTTACTATCTTAACCATTTTAAAATTTGCTGTGCAGCTGTATTATGTACATTCATAATTGCTGTGCAGCTGTCATCTATCTCTAAAACTCTTTTCATCTTGCACACTGAAAGTCTATACCCATTAAACAATAACCTCCCATTCCCCACAAGCCCAGCCCCTAGCATCCACAATTCTACTTTATGTCTCTGATTTTGATCACTCTAGGTACCTTATGTTAGTGAAATCATGTAGTAGTTTTCTTTTTGGCTGGCACATTTCACTTAACATTAAATCCTCAAGGTTCATCCATGTTGTAGCACATCAGAATTTGCTTCCTTTTGAGGGCTAAATAATATTCCTGTATAAATAACAAATTTTCCATATCCATTCATTCATGGATGGACACTTGGATTGTTTCTACATTTTAGCTACTGTGAATAATGTTGCTGTGAATATGGATGTAAAAATACCGCTTCAAGACACTGCATTCAGTTCTTTGAGGTTTATACCTGGAAGTGGAATTACTTGATCATACGGTAATTCTGTTTTTGTTTTTTTGAGGAGCCACCATACTATTTTTACAGTGGTTGTAACATTTTAGATTTCCACCAGAGTGTACAAGGATTCCAGTTTTTCCACATCCTCACCAACAGTTTTTATTTTCTGTTTTTTTAATAGTAACCAGTCTAATTGGTGTAGGTGACATCTCATTTTAATTTTGATTTGTGTTTCTATAATGATTAGTGACACATCTTTTCATGTGCTTATTGTCCATTTGTATGTCTTATTTGAGAAAATGTCTGTACGAGTTCCTTGACCATTTTTTAATTGGGGTGTTTGGTTTTATTGTGGAGTTTTCTGTGTATTCTGGGTCTCACGTTTTGTCAGAGATATGACTTACCTGTTTTTTCTTCTTTGCCTGTGCCTTTGTGTCTTATCCAAAAAATCACTGTCAATTCCAGTGTCTCGCTTTCACCCTGTGTTTTCTTGTAACAGTTTTATAGTTTTAGGTTTTGT